AAGGTAATAATTAAGTTAAGTCTTCAATGTTTCCCGTTAACCGGCAGAACATCAGAAATAACCAAGAAACAGCCAAGACCATGTAGAACATTTGGACTCTTAGGTCAACTTTTAATTACTGTACATAATGGAAAAGGTTCAAATGAAAAAGTATTTTATGGATTAAATATGCATATTGCATATGCATGGATTAAATATATCTAAATAAGAATATTACTGTGACTAATAAGGCTACCAGCTGAAACACATTTAAAACAATTGCTCCTTAAATATGGGCTTGTTTGTTCACAACATCAACCACCCAGAATTTTCACCCCTTTTGAAATCCCTCACTTTTGACTCAAGTTTACAAATTCTCCATATCTCCCTCTAACCTCCATCTCAAGTCGCAATAATAAATACAATAATATTAAATATCTTTATCTTAAAAACTAAATGTTCTTTGATTAAAAACCCTGAATATTATACATGAAGCTGTTTCCAAAACGGTGCTCCAAATGAAAAGCACTGGGCAAGAGGATTTCTAGGATATTAAAGGTATTTGTGCTTGATTACGATTCACAGCAGTTCATCAACACTACATCCTAATAACTCTGCCATGCACATTGCATGCCATCATACATCTTCAATGTAACTGGAAACATTTCAAGTTCAGGGTGTTTACTAAAATTAATTGACTATTACCCAGATTGCCTTTCAGCATTGCCACATAAGCTTTGGAAAACCTTTCTTTAAATCGGTGGTCTGGAATACCAAGTCCTGTATTATTACTATTATTTATTACAACATAGCTTTAATTAGATGCACATGCATATGATTGTGAAAACTACTTCACTGTGATTGGCTGACAGCAGGCCAATTAATCATTAATTTTTAATTTGCACTGCGAGCAAATTATTGCGTGTGTTCACAATTTTCTTAATCAGGAGTAATTGTATGAAAGACTAATAGAGCTTTAAAAGATTTACACTACTAGTCATGATATTTGAAAATTCTTTCAAATTGCACCCACCCACACAGCTCATGCAATTTTGAGAGAATTTTCAAATACTATTCACAAATAGTGTAATACCTGGTATTCTTACTTCCCTGCCATCACAGTGAATACAGACTACAATGACACTAATTAACGTCAGGAGAATTAACAAAATGGTTCGACCATTGAGATAGTCTAAGCTGATGTTTAAAGATATTCTCCCAACTGGAAGTAACAAATATATAAAAATGAGTTGGGAGAATTTTTATCTTATCATCAGCAATGCATGTAAGCATGCTAGTCTCTATGAATCTCTTGACTGAACAAAGCTTCTGGTGAGTAACTTTTATGTGCCCCATTATGGAACACCCTACTAACACTTGTAAGATGCATGGAGTGAGTAAATACTGCACAGTTTCTAGTCAATTAATGATCATCAGATCCATAAAAAGGCCAACACTAAGTCACCCTCCCTTGTAAAAGGTTTCTTGAAATACTGTAAGGTGTCAATACTTGCACTATATAAGCCTTCAAAAGGGTTGGCCCCACTTTCTACATGGAGACAGCTCATCAAATAACTTTGTTATGTATCCTTTACTGAGTGTGCAGTTATAAATAATTCAAATTTATGATCACAAGGTTTTCATTAAGGTCCCGGCACTGGGCAGATTGACCGGCTGCTAGGACGATTTTGCCCAGCTGGCTTGACCATCTAGAGGAACATTTTTCTTCTAATGTTCTGTTCAGATAGTTTTTGTTTTGCCGGTCTGTTAAAACTAGTTGCGCTCATGATCAAAACCTCAATGAAACCCTTGTTTATGATAACATATAAATAATGTCTTAGAAGACACTAGGATTATCAAACATTTCTTTTTAACAAATGTGCCATCCTTATGCCTGTCTAGTACATGCAATTGCTTTAGCTGCAAAGTTAGGCTTATTCCTATCTGGGCAGGAGTGATTGGAATAGTCATGAACGTTTTAACTCTTGTGCTGGTTTACATAGATTACTTACAACCTCATAACCTCAAATTTTTGCATTATTCTTTTTTTAATATGTGGAAATGTTTTTGAAGTCATAGAAAAAGTCTAGCTACATGTACTTACTTGAAAAAGTGTTTCACAAACTGGCTACAGTAAGTTCAGGAAAACTAAGTTCCACAAAATGAAATTTTAAAGTTGTTACTAAAATTTCATGTTATATGGCATTATTAGGTCCCAGGTCCTGAAATAAGCCCCCGTGGAACAGTAGCAATGAAATACACATAGCTACTCCTGTCTCTGATACTGAAACAAGCTGGTTCCCCTTCGCTTCATGATCACATGCGCAATAAGCAGGCCTCCACAGATTCCAACTGCAAGCATGAGGAAGGAAATTCCTGCTGCCGCACCACTGGAGACACCCTTTGTTTTCATTTTACTGCCTCCTTGGCTTGATGGTTTAGCAGTGGTTAGTGGAGACCCAGAGTGCGGAGGAGAGGATGGCCAAAACCCAACATAGAATGAAGACTTGGTAGCATAGATTTTTTCTGTCAAGAGAAAATGATGTCAATAACATTGTCAGCATAAACAGTCCAGGTAGGTCAACAGTCATTTTAGGTTACAAGACTGATCATCCTAAGAGCAAATGTATTCTAAACCAGATGAAAAACTGAGCCAAGCCTTCCAGGAAAAAATGGTCAAATTATCAGGAAGTAAGCCAGAATCCAGGGCCATAGCTACCTGTAGCAACAGGCAAACCAAGGCACTTTGCTGTCATTTCTTGTTGTTGTTGTTGTCATTTATTAACATAATAAACACCCTAAACACTTAGGAAGATAATTTTTATTAACAATGGACATGCCTCTGCAGTCATACTTTTTTCATGAAGTCATAATTTGTTTCTGGTTAAATTGGTCTTGGAATTCCATCACAAAGATTGTGTTTCTAGAGAGTAGACCCCTTAAATAGAATTAAGCCTTAACTTATGTAAAATAGTTGGTCACCTGACCAGTTTTCACCACCAAAAGGTGGTACATGATCTAACGCTAAATTAAAGGAATAATTAGAATCCATAATATTACATTTTGGAAGAAATAGAAAACATGTACCGTGTTTCTATCGAGTTATAGAAACAAGAGTGGAAGTTTGGGAGAACGAGAAATGCTGTGGGAACACGAGCCGCAGGCGAGTGTTTCCACAGCTTTTTCAAGTTCTCCCAAACTTTCACGAGTGTTTCTATAAATCGATAGAAACACAGAGAACATGTTTATAATTCTTTTAGAAAACACTGTGATGAAAAAAAGGAAAACAACTTGTTTACTTTGATCATTGAAATGTACATTCTCTTTGCACGCGCCATCATTACGTCAACAGCTAGTGCTAGTTCTGTGTTTCTATCGAGTTATAGAAACACGATTTTTAACCAATCAGCGTTTGTATTTTCTGAGGGCTGTTTTCCAAAAAGACATACTAGACCACTGTTAACTGTCCTTCACACATTTCTGAATTAATGATAATACATGCTACTGATGCTGGCTGGACGGTAATGAACTTGTGCCAGTTATATAACTTTCACAGAGATGCTGTAAAGCACACCAATCTGCAGTTGGGATGTAATTTGTTATTATACATACAGAGAGAGTGGGCAGGGAATCCAACAGAGTTAGGTTTGTTGTTTGATCTCAACATTTGTATCAAGGATATGTTTCTTCAGGTGCACTGGTTTTCTTTTCCTAATCAAAATCCAGCATTGTTGCTCTTGTGTCCAACCCAGTTGACACATCATCATAATCATATTTATTTAACATTTACTTTTGATTGATTGATTTATACATTTGAAGATACCGATACTAAATGAAAACTGATGATGGAGAAATTAGACTGTTCCTACAAACAGTCAAATAAGAAATTCTCTCAGACTATGATCACAACCTGAACTAAATTTGTACTTAGTATTATTGTAACTGTTACATGTATTAATTAACTAATTATTGTTACAGTCCTTACCTTGTTGAAATTCCACTTTGAATTGTCCAGACTGTACAGAATTCTTTAGGGCATTCAATGCATCCATTAGTCCTTTCTCAGGATACACTATAACCTCCACATCACCCCTCACAAGCTTTGTTTTGTTCAGCAAGATGAAGGTCACTACCATTCCTCCCCTGCTATTCTGCACCTATAATGTCAACAACGTCTATACTAAACTATTTAATGCAATTATGTACTTCAATGCACTACTTACTGTTATTTAATATGCTTTTTAGGATAGCTCTAACTAAATCTCTCAGTCAGAAAATGAAACTTACATTGTTGGATTAAGCAGTGCTTCTACATGGTGCTTTCTGTGAAGTCATCCAGTTAGATGCTTTATACCATTTATATTACTGCTGTTCACAGTGAGACATTGCCAGTGTTGGAAATTAGTGCTCTCAACGCTCCCCCATGCAAGTGTGAAAAGCATCAAGCGAGTACAGATCATCAATCACTCACCCGTTAGGTA